GATCAGTCGGAAACCCCAGCACCTCCATGCAGGGCGAAGGGGCTGCGAGAGGTCCCGGCTCTGCAGCGAGAGGAGCGCAGAAGGAGCCTTTTCTCTGCAAGGAACGCCTCTGGGCTTCTTCTGGTCTGCTGTTTACTGTGCCACACCACTGGTCCCGTGACAAAGGCCACACTTTGCTGAGATGACCAGGAAAAGGTGTTTGGAGGAGATTAAAATCTCCAGCAATTCTTTCAAGATTACTAGTAATGCTGCAATCACGTATGGCTCCATGGGGCTCAGTCCCTGCACAAGGAGACAGGCACAAGACAGGTCTCACACTGGATGTGCTGGACATGAAGTGCATGGCTATTTTGTCCACTTTCCAGAATCCTCATAGATACTTGCAATCATCACACAGCAAGAAAGGTGTTAAAACCACACCTAGACATAATCTGACTTGATCATTGTGTTCCCTTGAAAGGGAGCTTGACAAGCTAGATGCCAAAAACTAGCTCAGGTTTCTGAACTGAAAGGTGCTGTGTCCTGGCAGGCTTAAGGCTAATGCCAAGAATTTAGGGCTTAAACGCGTTGTTTAGGAGGAAGCAGCCGAAACCTGCAGATTCCTGAGGACCTGTTTCCTCTCTTAAGGTGCAGGAGGTAGATCAACACCTCAAACAGGAACTCTAAGTAGCCTATTTACAATTGGATAATCAAAATTTAAGGTCAGAACACCCAGAAACTGCAGTGTTTGGTCTAGGAATGACAATTTGGCACGTTAAACCTCCCTTTGACTCATAATCCTTCACAAACAGTCATTCTACCTTTTAACCCCATGGAAGTAACTGCCAGAGCAATACCACCAGCACAGAGACAGAAGTGGGACAGGCTACACAGAGTCCACGCGATACTGCTCCCTTCCTGCCCGCAGCAGTAGGGGCCGCTGGGCAGGGTGCTCACCTCTCACGCGAGAAATCAGGTTTCCTTGTCCTGCTCCACCACACATCTCCCGTGCGAGGCCTTCGGCAAACAAGTTGCTTCGCGTCCCTGTGTCTGAGTCTCCCACCTGTGAAATGAGAATAGCACTTCTCCTCTTTCCAGGAGCACCTTGAGGATAAATACAGTAAGTTCTGAGGTGTTCAGGTTAGAAGGGAGTTAGAAGGTGCACCATAATGGACCAGAACAAACTTCAATCCAGTGAGAGAAAGGGCAACAGTCATGCTGAACTCAACTTCTAAATATACATAATTAAATACTTTCCATTGCTATTTACTGATTTTAATACATCAGATTTGCTTCTGGTTTTCTTTGTGTCTCAACAAAGACCAATGTGTCATGCCCAATTTTACAAAATACAGCTAAGAAAGGAATACAACAGGCTCTCACTTCCAAGATTTTCTTTTTGTAAGATTGAAAAGAGCAACATCCTATTTGCACCTCAGTTTGAGAACTCGTGGTTCACCGTTATCCACAGAGGAGACCCGGGAAGCCTTTCGGTACAACTTGGACAGCCTGGCAACCGAGCATGAAACGCATCGGGACATCAGTGTTCAGAGACCGGTTTCACAGTATATAGATAAAGATAGAACAAACAAGTTATCAGAGTTTTAAACTCTCTTAACATTATTTTTTTCAAATTCAGATGGGAAAATGATGAATGTCAACATTTTTTAGTTATAAAGCAAATGCAAAAATACAGTGATTAGAGGAATTGCAATGGGAGCCAGCATTCTCATCTGGTTTTGGAAGCTAAAGAGAAAGACTACACTGGTCTAGTGATTTTCCAGTGATTTTTCTTTAACTTTCTATGCGGGGCACAGATTTGTGTCATCACTGGTTCTGCCTCTCTCACCTTTCACAGCTGTGTTTTACAGCTGCATTTTAACACAGCATTGTAGAGCAGCCTAGCTTTGCTCGCTTTAGGAGTTATGACCGAAGTACACAGCCAGGGAAATCATAAGAATCTGAACAGACTGATCCTGTACATATCAGTAATCGCTGCAGGACCTGTGTCACTTTGGGATATTTCCAGGCATTCGGGGAGACGGAAGAGCCAGGACTTCTGTGAAGCACTCACTGTACATATTTTCTGAGCAAGTTCTAACAAAGATGTAGCTTTCTAAAATGTGCATTTTCATTTTTCTTTGGCAATAAGCAACAAACTGTTGCTTCTCTCTGTACCCTTTGAAAGAAAGTCTCCTTAGAGAAAGCTTATTTAGCAGCAGCTGCTAAACAGTTGTATCGAAAATACTGTGAAGTATCTTCTGGATTCTAAGAGTAGGGACCTGCATGGTATCTTAGATATTCTTGCACTGTGGCTTCACATCAAATAGAGGCGTTTGATGAAAACACTATTTGGTATCTGTGGTCTCATTCCTTTCACCTTAGATTCATTGAGATAAATTATCTCCCTATGCCCTCCCCTACTCCTTCCATTCTCTGGAGAGGTCTAAGCTTGTGTTCTTCAAGGTCATAGGCTTGCAGGAATTTTTGTACAGGGAAAAGTGAGATTTATTAGAAACAGCTTGCATGTATCACCTATAATACCTCTCAAAAGGATTACGTGTTATTCCCGTATCAGTATTTGCATACAGACATCCCAGCACACACATACCACTCCTGAGTCACACCTATCTTTTTAGCTCCCTGTATAAAGTAATACAAAATTAACTACTGGCTTTTTTTTTTTTTAAGAAAAAAAAAGAACACAGCTGCTTGTTCTGGTGTCTCCTTCTTTAGATCTCCTTCAAAGTACAGCAAAACTCCTTGCATACTAGCAGAAAATTTCCATTCTTTCACTCCTTTTTAGCTATGAAAGCTGTTCTTCATTACTTTAGTTCTTACCTTTATCTCTTCTCTGCCCTTTGTTTGTCTTTGATACTTAGGAGGGAAGTTCAGCCTTTCCTCACTATACAAACAGTTTCCATGCTATGCTAACCACACTCTGCTATCTGGACTTCTACAAGTAGCTTAAGAGACTTGAATAGCACCCATCAATCATGATCTTTACACCTTGGGCTTCAACTCAGAAGTTAGATACAAATGCGAACTGAACTTGGACAGCTTTTTAATTGAAACCATGTGTGGGATTCATACTCTGTAGGTTTAAATAGGCAAAAAGTTACAATCTTTTCCCCATCATCCCAGCTGGCTGCAGACTGTGGCTGTGGCATGCATAGTCTGCGGTGTGCAGTGCACATCCAGGTTGCAGGATGAAGGAGAAACCACACCAAAGATCAGCACCCATTTGCAGCATTGCTGTAGCCGACCTTACTCTTCTCCCCACTATTATTTATGCTGTGTCACATGGCAAACCGCTAGACAAAACTAGCACCAATGTAATTGTGCCTTCTCAAGAAATATTCGCCTTGATTTTATATGTCAAGCATCAGGTCAGTCAAAGCTGCACAGTAGTTTTTTGATACTTTCCAAAGACAGAATTAATAACCAGACTACTGCCATAAATATATTAAGTAACTTTAATGCTGCTTAGCATAAGTCTTTGTTATATACTTTCATCAATATACTCCAGTGTAAATGCGTTTTATACAATATGAAATATTTTCAAAAGTCTATGGCTCTAGATAAAACATCCACAAAACAAGTTTCAATACAAGTGGAGAATCAGGAAAAAAAAAAAAAAATAATCAGCCAGAGTACAAAATCTTTGGAAGATAAAAATTTCAGAAAACAAGATATACAAAAAGATCCCATTGCAGTAATTCAGGACAATTGCATGGTTCCAGTAGTCAGAAGGGCTGCCACTCACTCCTATGTCATCCATAAGAACCTCTCCTGGGTCAGCAGCCACTGCATGGCGCTACTGGGGCGGCTGGCTCTCAGAGACCCATGTCCCTGACAAGTTTGACAAAGTCACCTTCATAGCAGACACCCTTGTTGGCTCAAGGAGAATGAGTAGGCCTGGGAATGAAGAAAGTCCTGTCTTCCCTCACCCAACCACTGCTGGTCTCTGCAGAACATTCAGGTACACTGACAAGATGTGGTGAACAAGTTGTTCTACAAATGATAGGGAGCCTTTATTCTCCCAGGTTATCAATTTGGCACTATTCACAAGAGCAAAAATTATTTACTAGCATTATAAAAAAACATTTCACCATCTGCAAAATGGCATGAGTGTAAGGAGCAGACTGCAATGCTATCCTTTAGTTTTGTTAAATTAATTTTCTACATATAATAATCGCATGTCATTATACAACAGGGATATTCAAGAGAGGCTCAATTAAACTTCATTCGTGCCAAAAGCAAACTCCATAGTGGGCGGACTGCTTTGCATTCCAGTGCTTTCAGTAAGATGTTGCATAGGCATCTATCCAAACAAAAACACTTTTACAACACTGCAGGTTTAGAATGCAACAAATAACACACTGCAAGATCGAGGTCAGACATTATTCACCATTTGGTAACATTCCATTCAAATTATATTGACTCACATAATAAGTAACAAATGCAGCACTTGAAGTAACAAAACCAAAGCTGTACTCCAACAAAGTAAAACAGTGCAAATATTCCTGTTAAACAAAAATATACCATGTATATACACACACAACACAAATGCACTGTTTTGTTTTGCAGTATAAATAGATCCAATTAAGCTAAATTCCAAAAACTAATGAACTACTGACTGGCAGTCCCAAACAGTTTCCATCTACTAAGGAATACTGTAAGGTTTAAGGATCTGATGACGGTAGTTGGATATGGCTATAAAAGAGTATCAGAATATTTCACTTGATGGATATTTAAAATATTTTCTCTGTACACCAAAGTTAATAATATATATACTAAGTTGGTATCACAAAGTAAGCTTGGGCTCTGATCACGCAAGGAGCAGCACACAGAAGACCCGTGAGTCTATCAGGAGCCTCACGGCTCTGCCTGTGTGTAATACACTGTAATGCTGCAAAACACTTGAGGCACAATCCCAGGACTTAAAAAGGCGGAAGCTTTTTAGCTGCCTATGCAGTTAACATGTTTGTTTAGTTTCCATTTTCTTCCTCTTCTGATTTAGCACTACAATTCTGTTATCTGCTAATGACACATCTGTTTATCCCTGAACTCTATAGTACCATACAATTAGTATGCTTCTAATGAGTACATAATAAAAGTAAAAATTAGGAAGGGAAGAGATGGAAACTTGTTTTCTGTTAAGGAAATCCTGATTAGGGGTTATTTGCATTTCAGCACTTTAAAAACAGATTTAAGCAAAAAAACAGTCTTTTTGGAATTAGATTACAGTAAAACAGACAAGTAGCACTTAATTTGATCTGAAGTGGAACACTCAGGCGTTAACCTCTCTTCAACTGCTATAACCTCCATCTCCTTAATGCCAGGGCTGTGCTGCAACCATAACAAACAGCTGTTGCAAAGGCAAAAATCTAGAGGAGTAGCAAGGAAAAAAAAAAAAAGAAGGAAAAAAAAGAAAAAAGTGAATCACACATTATATTGTTCGACATTTTTTTTCTATTATAAATGAATACAGGAACACAAATGATTCAGAAGTTACCTCCCCCAGCCAAAATGCTTAAGGTAAAGATAGGTTTTGGATCCTCTGAAGTTTTCTCATGGACCCCTCTGTTATAACCCCATGTGACTGCTTTTAACTTAATTGCGTGCTTCAGAAGACATTTTGAAATAGAATATGGAACAGAATGTCTGCATAGGTGATGGTACAAAGTAATCGTGTATACGTACACCGTGTATTTCAGTTTTATCTAGACTGACCAAACATTAATCTCACAAGTGAATGCCTTTACCAGAAAACAACTAAGACGACATCCCTCTAAAGAGCAGAACTCTTTTACTTGCAGAAATACAGAAACAGCTTCAAATCTGGCCTCCTTGATCAGATAACCAGCCATTAGAACAGCTTCCTGAGAAATGCCAGGAAGTTGCTATTGCTCAAGAACTGAATCGAATAGATTTGAACTAAGGGTCATGCCACAGCAAACTTGAATATATAATGTAAACCAGAAGGAAGAAATGAGAAACTGAATTGATGAAAAAAATAGTTTCTCATGTTGTCCAGTGCTAATGATGGATTCTGTCTCTTAGAACACACCAATTCAATCATGTCATAAAAACCTATCCTTTGCTTTCCAGATGAGTTAATTTGACAATTAAAGTTTTGAAGAGATGCTACACTGTACAACTATCAATCACATAAAATGAACACACATATTTTTAATCACAGTATAGAAAAGTAATTTTAAAAGACAAAATGGTAGAACCTTTTGGTTTTTTATACGTAGATCACAGGACTGTTTTAGTGAAGTATTTCAAAAGATTAAATTTTTTTGTCTATGTCCTGACTTTCTAATTACATACTTTTGGAAAAAAAATGCAAAGATACTAAAGACTACAGTTGCCTGATTCACCATTTCCCAGCATGTCTTAATTAAAAATACTGAGGCAAGTTACAAAAGAGTCTCCTCCTCCCCTATCTTGATGGGGATTTGAGGGGCTTGAAGAACTGAATTCTCCCTGGAAAAATAGTAGGGAAGGGGGGAAGGGTCTCTTGGAGTCCTCAGTGTCCTGTTGTCAGACAGCATGACTGAAGTGACCATATATTCAGTGGGATCTGAACACACTAAACAAGGACTGTAGAGCTACACTTAAGGGTAGAATTTGAGATACTTGCTTGGCATAAAGCTCTCCCTTAGTTCAGGCACAGTTAATGAGACACATCTATCTTTGTGCTGTGTGGCCATAGAGGGATCAGATGTGCTCAAGTGTGTGTGGATAATGGTGAGGCACCCTGGATTTGGGGACTGACAGGCTCACCTCAGTCCTTCCGAGACTGCTTTGCCAACGCAAAAGGCCTTTCCTTGTTATTCTTCTCTTGCAGAGAGAATGTGAACCTTACATCCTACGTTCATCAGTTTTTATCTTGAGATGAACTGAAGGTGTTCACTGTACAAAATCTATGCTGTATTTAGTTTTAAGTACAATAGATACCCACAGAGGGTTTTAGAAGCCTAATAAATACATACAGTTCTCTGACATACAGTTCTCTGATGTACGCAAGACCATCTGCATGGTACAAAAAAAAGCAAGAGCAGTAGTTTCAGTTCTTTAAGTTAAGCCTACTGGCACACCTCTACTTGCCCTTCAGGAGTCCAGCAGGGAGAAAGCTAGAGCCTGGTCTGTTTCCTGACTCAGCTACGCACACCCACATCACCAGATACAGTGATTCGGTGATGATGCAACTACAGTGAGAAAAATGCAGTCTGAGCTTAGGCTATCAATAAAAGCACTCTAATCCTTGCCATAACAGACAACAGGGCCCTTACAGATAACTTTTATGCCTGATGTAGTAAGTACATATCTGGACCTTCACAAGGAGCCAGTCCAAGGTTTTTTCCCCATGGCATATTCAGGACTACCTAAATGGCATAAAAAAAGCTACTGAAAGTTTGAGTACAGAAGCATGAAATTCACACCTAATGCTTTCATGAAGGCTCAGTTGTTATCTTTTTCTTCTATTCTGATAACCAACGTTGCTTTTACAAAATATCTCATCTAAAAATTATAAGCTGTAGTGATCATATATTTAAAACACTAGAGTGAAAAGTAGCAACTGAGCACCTATCACATTAGCATTAGCTTATTGCAATATTTTTTGCATGTCACTGTTAGACACTATTTGCTGTTCTCAAAGACAATCCTTTCTCTCACAACTCCTCTTTCTATTCCTGCTTGCTCTGAAGTTCCCAAGTAGAATGGTTGGCTACAAGCGTTTACAACTGACTTCCATTCCCCAGATACAAATATATGAAATACATACCGAGGCTGCTATGCTTATGTTATATTCATGATCGGCTAGAATCTTCTCTTGCGTGGTAGAATTGAATTTGCGGGGAAAGTGATGCAGAGATGTAGTTGCTGCTTGCAGTAGAAAAGCTCCAAAATAGAAGACAAAAGTAGCCCCATGGAAAAGAAAATCCTGAAAAAGCAAATAACAGAATCAGCTGGGGCTGCAACACATATCTAACCAACTCTTCTAGTCTCAGAACAAATGAAACTCACCATTGAAACATGAAATGAGCACTGATAACAATAACTTTAGATAAGCAGTGTTAAATCCATCTGAGAGCTTAACCTGGACATGTTTTCACAGCTGCTTGCAATTATAAGCAACTCACATAATCAGTGACAAAGGGCAACAACCCTCCCTCTCCCAAAACCCCATATTCTTTCAAATTAAGAGGCATGTGCTCATCTGTATGCATACATGCTGACTTTTTAGATCACTTTCAAGCTATTAGAGCTTACAGAACTCTCCCTTCATACAACTTAGATAAAAAAAGAAGGGGCATACAGGCCAACTTTATCATAATTTAAGCTGTACAATACAAGCTTGCAGTCCCCCAAATCCCTTCTCAGCTACAACCTACCTTCCAGAAGTCCCCCCTCCACACTTCAATTTTGCTTCTATAAATGCCCAGAAACACCTCAGCCTTGACACAGCTGAAGTTTACTTCCCAGTACAATCGGAATTCAAGAACTGAGGCATTTCCTCAACTCTCTCTGACTTGGCCCTACCCAAAATACAGTAATTTGGAAGTACTTCACAATACTGTAGAATAAAATGCCTAAGACTTGAGAGGACAAGAGTTAGGATTTACTTTAAATATGCTTCTCTCCAGGCGATTCCCACCTCTGTGGTGAATGCTAGCTGAACACAAGGTTTAAACATCTAACTCTCATTTCTGGATTCCATACTACTGGAGCACATGAAAAAGCAGCTCTGGTGCCGAAATCTCTTTGTGGGTTGTATTTCAAAGTCCAGTATTCCACCCAGTAAGGTACAAGATATGTTCCAGTGCAGTTTTAAAGTGTCTAAAATATTCTTCCAACATAGAATCATAGAATGGTTTAGGTTGAAAGGGACCTTGAAGATCATCTAGTTCCACTCCCCCTGCCATAGGCAGGGACACCTCCCACTAGACCATCTTCTTCTGTTGTTTAGTCTGCAAAACTGACATTTGCACTGCACTTGGTTCCTGGGTCCATACAACATATACTAGGTGCCTATACCTATGCAGCTCTGCAAAAGCCATAGACACAATTTTTAAAATCATACACAAGTGTATGTATGCTTTTTGATGATATCTACATTATATAGCCTCTCTCTAACAGTAATGAATTCTTCATGCACTTTTAATTCACTTGAGTCCAATGGGCTACCAGTACGCCAAGAGTGAGAACCCATGTGTGAGTCCATCGCAACGGCAGACAGCATTCATATGCACTAGAAATTACTGTGCAACATCCTTACCTACTGATGGTCTGATATCAAAGTGAGAATGTGCCACATTTCCCTGTTTATTGTTTCTTTATAGAGGTGAGGTTTTCTTTTTATTGAAAGAATTTTCTTTCCAAACTCATCCGTTGTTTCGTATTTGATAGCAGCTCAAGCAACTTAAAAATCACACCCTAGTCAATTTTGATAAGTTACGATATAAGATGCTACTACTGTTCCCCATTCCACTTAGATGAGGAAATAATTTTGTCTCAATTAAGAATCATTTGAGGTTAGGTCACAGTGCGCACTGCTTGTCTTAATAACTGCTAGTTACTGGGAATCCAATTTTTGGCTAAACAACCGCAGTAATTCCCAAGTTCTGGTTTTCTATCCTGGCTGGGTTGTTGGCATTTTAATCCCGGTTTTTAAAACCAACTGCTTCCTCTTGGAGTATGACCAGGAAGCCCCACTGACATCAATGGAACTGAGAAGGGGGCAGAGGGTGGCTTCCTGACTTAGCTAGATAGCTTTTATGGGCTCACCTTGCCAGATCTCAAGATTTGGACCTAAGACACATTCCCTCAACCTCCAGCTCTGCTCTAACGTCTGTACCTCATAATAAAATAGTAGGGACCTAGTCCCAGATGAGAGTGCTGAAGCATCAGAGAAGCTGCAGTGCTCTGCTGCAGCTGGGGGAACTACTTCTCCCCACTAGACACTTACTGTTGTAGCTTCGCCCCCCCACTTGAGCTGGCAGACAGACATGGACATCTTTCATGCTACCGCCTACGCACACCATGTCAGACTGCATGCAGGTGTGTGTTCGCTGTGTGACAAACACTGGACCTCATATCATGGCTGACATACCCATTTCATAGCACAGGATTCCAGCAGCTTCTGCGTAACCCCGTGGGTAATCAAGGGCATCCATTATTCTTGGGCTGCTAAATACCTAGCATGCAACCATGTCAGTGTTACCAGCTGTACACTTTTGCCACCACGGCTCATGAAGGAGCACAAATAGCTCCATGAGGAAGACAGTGCTGACTGCACATAGGAGAGGTATTTTCAGAAGACAAACTCTTTCATTTTCCTTCATTCACCTGCCAAACCCTCTAATTTCCTTCTCCTGGCAGCAATTACAGTGAAGCTATGTAGCATCAGTAAGGTTTCACGTTCATATGTTTATGGTTTCTGTGACCATAAACCCCAAGATCTTTTGAGGGAGATTTTGGTTTTTTTGTTTTTTGGGTTTTTTTCAGTAATTGTTAGCATGGTGCCTAACTCTTCCTTGCCTCCACACTTGTACAATCATTGAAACCTCATGCAAAGTGTATGTAAAACACTACCAGATCTGCATGATATGTTAGTTCACATCTAATTTCGTAAATGAGTGTGTTGTGAGTCAGGCTGTAAAGGACAGTATTTGTCATACCATCTGGCTTAATACAGTGATGTACAGAGTGATGTACCTCCATAAGGTCCATATTTTCCCCCATCTTTTCACTGTGTAGCATCTTATTTTTTAAGTACCTGTATTAGAATCAATGGAGCTACTTAACACATTAGGTATTACTAAATGCAGGGCTGTCAGAATCCCATGCTATTTTTCAAACTTACATTTAAACTCTTGGAGTCTTAAACCACATTTGTTCATGAATCTCTAAACGAAGCTATAATACTCCAATCTAACTAAGCCATGACTCTTCCCATTTTTGACCTAATCTAATAACCTGTAGCTTCTGAGTTCTATTGTAAATTTAATTTATATAAAGTTATCTAAATACATGCCTAACTAAAACAGACAGGTACACCTTTATATTTTATAGTAACAAAATATTTTTAGCATTTCTAGTAATTATTTATTCGCAACAGAAGGTAAAAAAATCCTTGTGAAGCGCTGCTAAAGAGTTTAGTGCCAACAAGTTACACAACATTTGGGTACCTGAAAATAGTGGTCAAATGATCTACCTACTGTAATTTTTGTTGACAGCTGGAAGGGGCTGGATTTCAGCTACCATGTTAGAGATAAAATGATTCACTGCATTTATTTAAGATGTTGACTTAGTTATGACAGCTTTTTAGATTAAGTTGCAGAGTCCCACAGATGCAGCTTTTATACAAGTCAAGTAGCAACTTCCTGACATAGGAAATTTTCAAGTAATTTATCATATAAAAGGGGACAAAATTAACAGTTCAACAAGTCACTGCCAGCATCAAGTAGCCAATCTCTAAGATACACTAATATAATTGTTGTAAGATGAACATTTGCATAGCATTTTCAATCTATAAAAGGCTATGCATCTATTTAAGAGTTGCCAGGTGAGGGCATGATTGTAAATTGGCAAACAGTTTCAATGAAACCCAGGACACTATTAATTTACTCAAGTTATGCACATGCTTAAGGGCTTTGTTGCATCATAACTTGTGAGGATGTCGCAGCACAAATCCCTGTAAAGATCTCTGTAATTGTAACTCATTATTAGCCTAATTACTGCCTGTATAGTGCTGGAAAGTTGACACTGTATGTATATGTATTCACTATCAAAGTGCTCAAGTCTGTTTTAATAGAATCCAACCTGTTACCACTGATGGGCTTTGAAGTTATCAGGTAGAGCCCCAAACTCATGAAGCTCTTTGATTTCCTTTGAAGACCTTTTGTTCTAAGGGACTGTTCGAAAATAACTTGAACAGATGATATGGAAGCACGCAATCCCAGCTATGATCAAGAAAAGTGTCAATAGGAAAACTAAGCTGCATAGGAGGAAGGTGAAGGTGATCAGCAGTTACAAACAGCCATACTCTAATTAATTTTAGAAGTTCTGGTCCTTTTGGAAGACTTTTTGGACCGTCCCATTCTGATCACAGTTTTACCACTTCTTATATTATTGGAAGTGAATAATAAGAGAGAGTGATAACATCTTGTACTCAACTACTTGAGTGCTGAAAACCCAAAGTAAAAAGCAGTTAATAACAACAAAGGAGTACATAAATTAGCAAGTCAATAACCTGAGGTATCCATGTGGCTGGTAAAAATTAGAGCCAACAGCTTCCCTTTTTTAATAGGGAGGTACAGTCTACTGGCACAAGCCATAACAACCCACTACAGCAAGAATCAAGACTTGTCTTCACAACAAAGAAAAGCTGAGCAGAGTATAATGGCATCTGTAGTCTCACTAGGCTTCCTCTAAGAAAGACAAATGTTAAGCTTCCTAAAAAGATATTAAGCTACTGCAGGTTGTGCTGTCTTTGACTACCTGAGATTCAACAGCCACTCACCAGCGCTGCCCTAGCTTTAAGTAATTGACCCAAAAGTCAGCAGAAGACTTTCTTAGGAACTGGAGGAGGCTTCCTGGGTGCTTTAGTCCTGTCCATGCAATCTCAGACAAACACATCACACAATGTGTTCACAAATGTACCACTTCCTTTACAATATTACATGTATCTTTCTATCCCCCATTATTTACAGGGTGTTACTACCACTTCTCTAATAGTCAGAAAATATCTTCCAATTTCCAGTCCACAATGATTGCTGGATATTTAAACCAATTTGTTGTCATGCCTTGTTAAACTAGTCCTCTTCCTGCTGCTCATGCATTTTATGTGCTCATAGAGGACAAGTATACTCCTTCAATCAGTATCAAAAGCTGGGCTCTTTCAGCCTCCATCATACAACAGGCCCTGTATTTCCTCCATCATCCTTGTAGCCCTACTCTTTCTTTTCCAGTCATGAATTCCTGTTTTGAAAAAACTTTCCACTAAAACAGACGACCAGGCATTAAGACTTAGGATCAGTACTTCTCATGAAATTATTTTCAGTTTATTTAAGGATTCCCTTTGTTTTATAAAGAAAAAAATCTTACCGTCTGGTTCCAGTTGACAGAAATTCTATTTGCATAACCAAAGAGGAAGACACACAGGAACACAATGGACAGGAACCACGCAGTCACTGCTACAAACATTACCCATCCCTGCAGCAGCGGCAGTGGAACTCGGGTAGAAGCTACCAAAATCCAGACTATCGTTCCAAACAGCTGCAAGGAAAGGAATACAGACGATTAACTGAAAGATAACTTTTAGTTGGTCCTTTCTGCCTAAGAACTAATATCACACATCAACACGTCCTCGGATTACTTTTAGGAACCAAGAGGAAACACTTCAAGTGTACTCTGAGAGTCCAAGTGCCGTTCTCAGAAATGATAGGCGCTAAGTGGCAGTAAGACAAAGCCACTCTGAAACTCTTAAAAGTTCTTAAAATAGTCTTGAAAATGGGATTTGCAAACCCAGATGACTCACGTGCCGCTGCTGAAAATTTTACCCTTAACTCTCATTTTGAGGGAAATATAAGAAATATGGAAACATGGTTCCCATGAACACATATATAAATCTCTCTATATCTACTAAAGTTAGCGTGACATGGGTGTACAACAGATTTGGATTCAATCTTGTACTGTTTAGTTTTGTAGTCCTAATCAGATGAGATACAAAAAAGAGAAGAAACTGTATCCTCTTTTTCAATGCATTTGTAATAAAAAGCTGAAAGAGAAAACATTAAGCAATAAAGTGAAAGCGAAAACTAGAATACAGAATAAGGTGAGTTGTAAATTATGTTGTAATGACTAGAAAAACATACATCTTCAGCACCACCAACTTTCTTTTCAGCATAATGACTGCAGCATGTGAGTGGTGGAGATGCTGTGCTATGACGGGCTGGTGGAGGATTTAAGTACTAAGGCTCACCTGGTTTAATCAGCTCTTGGCCTAACGAAGGGTACTATGTCTCCCTGCAAATCCTGCCTCTTTATAAAAAAGGATAACTGGAGAAAGTCATAATTGCCATCTGAAGTACATTCATTTATAACAAAAAGATTTACCCCTTTATAATCCAACCTACTGTGTCAACAATCAATTTCCAAGCAAGTTTACTTTTCTGTTTAAATACTGCAGATTTACAACTACAAAGTCAGAGGTTACATTTTTAGCTGCGGAGAACCTTCCTTCGAATCAAGGTTGGATGAAGACACCTTTCAAAAGATGCCTGCTCTAAAACTAGCTGGTTCCTCTCTCATGTTACATTGCAGCAGCATGTATGTAAAGATTCATTGCTAGTGTCAGTTCAAAGCACCCAAGGGTTTATGTATTAGCCTTCAAGTTGTTCTCTAGAGTTCCTTTTTTAGCTGCTGTGAAGAACCAAACTTTCTCTAGTTTCACCAGGCTGCAGGTGCAAGTCTGTTGCTCAGATACCAAATAGCGATGGGCAGTGAGGAAGCAGAAGGGATAGCAGAAAGTGTCTGTTAAATGAAAAGCAGGGACACACGAAATGTTTTCAGTATTTTGAATGTGCAACCTTGCAGGCCGCTTTAAAAATAAATTTAGAAATCTGGTGTAGAGATGGCTAATCTCAGCACCCACTGTTGTGCCATGTCCCTCACACACCTGTCCACTTCAGCTCGGCTGTCAGATGTATAATAGGTTGGCCATCCTAATTAACCTTTTCTCCCTACTGACTCAGGGCCTGATTTAGTGCCTGCACTCATGCTCTGAGCTCTTTGCTCCGAAAGTTTTCCAGCTTGCAAGGTGGGCTCCACCTCACAGACCGGGACCCAAGCAGTAATCCACTCTGACCCCAAGAAAAAAAAACAGTATTAATAAGGTCAGACCGTAACACACACACAGAGGCAAAAACCAGCGTAACTGTCCACGGCAGGTTTTTGGGTCTGGGATTCTGTGTGGCCCAAAGTCCCTGACAGCTGAAACAACCCCCGTGAAACCCATCTCCGCGGGCCGCCCGGTGCGGCCCGGCCGGGGCGGGAGGAAACGCCGCCACCGCCCGGCCCGAGGTGAGCAAACACGTCGGGACAGGCCGGAGGGAGCGGGGACGGGGCCCTCTGCCCTTCCCGGCACAGCCCCGCGTCCCAGACACCGGCCCCGGGGCCGGAGCGGGGCAGCCCGGGGGACTCCCCCCTG